GTTCCTTTTTTGCTTCGAGAATATTTGGATCTATTAGAAGTACTCTGTTGAAATCATTAACACTGGCTTCATAATTCTGCAAGTAGAAGGAAAAAATTTTTTTTCGTAAGCATACCACTAGAAAAATAAATTTGAACTACCGCAGTGTCCTTTACAATTAAGAAAAATAACAAGTCTAGGATCTTGACATTAAGTGGACAAAAATAATCCAATTACAGACAGTGTAATTTCATTAGGGGGAAAAAAGGAAACTGAAGATGAGATTAAGTTAATATTTTGTGAGTAAATACTTCCGTATTAAATATGTAATATAAAATACTTTTTTTTCTGGAAACATATGCCCTGTATTAGAGAACAGAGTATTGAAGATTTCTGCTTTTAAGCAAAATTGCTTACAGAGTATAACACTTCCTCAAGATTAATATGAGTCCATCAACAGTTCTGCATACTTGCTTTGCAATAAAAGATAGTTAAATTAAGGTCAGATTAAAAATACACCTAATCCTCCCAGGCTTCAGTCCAACAGATTGTCTCATAGTTTGAGAGGGGAAATTTTTGGTTGTCCTTGAGAAGATTGGGATTACATTATGAACTCTGGGATAAACAACAAGATTAGAAGGACAAACACGGTGACAGAGTGGCATTAGGACACAGTTTCCTCAATAATCAGTCTTGTCACTTGTTTAATGTTTTTATTTCAAATTTTGACATTAGGAATTATGATTTTTTAGACTAAATTTTCTGGTGAGGTGAAATTAATAGCAGCAGTTCTGAGGAAGACTGAAATATCACGTAGAAAAATCAAGACATCTTGAGGGCTGGAGTATGAAAAATAATTATAAAATGTATCAGTAAAAAGACCATGCAGACAGTGAAAGAGCAACCTAATTTCTTTATATGAGGGACCTAATATTTCTTCTGTTACCTAGCAGTATCATGAGTAACAACTCATACTGATGACCAGTATTCAAGGTGCAGAGACACTGCAGTAAGTCTGTAAGTGAACCAAGTGCTGTACAATGAAAGAAGAGTACGAAAACTAAAATTATTTCGGCTTAGCAAATGAATGCAGAAAGGTGGCAGATCACTTTCATCAGAAAACAGCTCCTAATGAAGCTAAAGCACTTGAATTACAGACATAAGGATTCACAACTACAGAGGAAATAGATTCTGGAACAGACCTCTGAAAAAAGACGCTAAGGGTCAGCAAACAACCAGCCCTCATGGATTTCAAGCTGCAGCCTGCCAGCTTCCTCAACAAAAATAACACAAGATGGTTGTACCCAAAGCAAGAGACTGGACTATCAGCTGCAAGAGATGCGGGCCAGGGTCCAAATTCATCACACAAGCATGGTTTTTTCCTCATCTTCCCTTACAGATCTCAGTAAATCTATTTAAAACCCTCATTTACTACATTAAATTCCACAGCAGCTTCTGTGGTTAAATATCTGGATATTTATATACAAATAAAACTCCCCAGCTTCATTAGGTCTTTGCCAAATGACATGCTTTTAGCTCTTAAAATCTTTCATTGCAGAGTCATTTGTCAACCTCAAACAATTTGTGTTGCTTTCTCTGGTTTTACAAATCACTCACATCCCTGGAATCAGCAATAATGAAGACATTACATCCAATCACAACAAAATGGGAGTCCCCAGGTCAGACTATTCTGAAGGAATCCATGAACAGTATGTTTCAAGTTGTACCTTCAATAATACAAAAAAGAAATTTTTTCTAGGCTATTCAAAAAAGCAGAAGTTATTTCTCTAATTCTCAACATTCCTCACTAGTGTGTAATTCCCTTTTTTTGACTGGTAGAATCACTATATACCTTTGTTCGTATTTATACTGATTTTTTATCAACTTCAACAACATAAGGTTACAGATTATTAACATCAGGTAGCTTGGTACAGTTCCAGAAAAGATTTTACACAAAATTAAGACTTTCCACCTTCTTTGAAAAGTAGTCAAAGGAAACTTTCAAAGTTTCATGCCTACTGTAACAGAAGAACAAATTTATACTGAAAAAAAATTTTTTTGTTAAGGCATCAAACACAATAGGGGTCTGAGACAAGTATTCATCTGACGGACACTGGTGGAACTTGGTGGAGGCTTAGAGTGACTACCTCCACTTACAAAGAGCAACACGGGAGAAAGCACTTCAAGATGGCTTGTTTAAAGACACTTGTAAAATTTAATACAAAGTAGATTATGATAGCTGCCATCATGACCCAAACAAAGTGAAAAGCTGACCATTCAATACCAGGTAAGAGCTAGCAGGTAGGTTAAGGAGAGCTATGAAAGAATGATGAAGAGTAGAGGCTAATTAACATCACTGGAGGGGAACCAACAGAAGGATGGACAAAAGGAACAACAGGGCTCAAGTGATGAACATGAGATTTGCATTCACATTCAGGATGGATATGAGCAATCTGTCTGCACTTATGAAGAGCAGGTAAAAAGATACTCAAAAAACTGTGTGTAAAATGAACAAAGTACAGACACCACCACCACAGTGTCAACAGAAAATAAAAAGGTTGAGCCCCCACACTGTCCAAAGAGTGAGAAAGTAGATTACTGACAAAAGTTAGCAGTGTGTTTGGAGACAGAAGGTACTCTGGTTTAATATGACAAGCACTTAAAGATGAGCAGATGCCAAAAGATAGTGTGAAGTTTTAGTTCGGATAGATGAAGACAGACTTGGAGAGAATCCACTTGCCATCAGCAAAGATGCAGCAAACACCCTGACAGAAACAACAGACTGGGATACCCAGAAGAATATTAGAACAGAGTTAAAACTTGCTTAACCAATCTCCAGTCAAACCTAATTTATTCTAATATTCTTATATTTTCTCAAATTATTAGAAGTCAACATGCAGGTTTTTATGTTGCAAAAATATTTAATATTTAATGTAAGCCTAATGCTCCACAAAGTAATAAATCATCAGCATTGCATACTTCGTTTGTATTCACACATGGACTGCAGCTACCTGATTGCCTCTGAAGAGGATAAGCAAGTTTAGAAGTGCTTAGAATACCTGCCATGTTCTTTTTCCTCACCTGTAATCCTTTGTATGCTAGTGCTCTTCTATAAAAAGCTTTAATATTAGAATCTTCTGTCTGAAGAACATGATCACAATCCTGCTTAGCCTCTTCATATTTACACAGTTTCAAGTAACAGAGAGCTCTAACACAGAAAAACAGAATACACTGCAATATAAGTAAATTCTAGTGTTGTAGTGCCAACAGTATCTGACTCGTAAATGTTAATTACAATACTTCACACAATTCAGTCTTAATGTGGTATTTTTTAAAGTACATCAACACCAGTAAGTATTAATAACATCACTGGATGGATTTAGAGAAGGCCAGTTCCTGCAATAAAAGTCAAAATTCAAGTATGATAATGCTTGAAGTTAGGCAGTTATGTTTTAGAAGTAGAGCCCATGTTAGTATAATATGATAGCATAGTAGTGGATATAGTATGGATTTCATACAGCCATTCTGGGTAAAAAGATGCTCTACATTAAATAAGCAATACTGCTTTCTGCACCTAATTATTACTTGGCAGTCTCTTATTCAAGTACTGGCCTAATCAAATCCTTCTTAGTTTCTGAAAGCTGATAAGATTACAGCATAAAGAATTCTGCTGCAGAATTAGGTCAACCGTTAAAATAATGCTGTTGTATGACTCTGTTCCTACTTTTATTTTTTCAAAATGTAAATTTTCTCTAAACAATTACTCTTCATATTTGAGATACTGCTACTGCACGTTAGTTTTTAATTAAAATCATACAAGTATTCTCAAAAAATGCTATGCTAACTATAACTTTTTACTATTGCTTACTCTATTTATATAGATTTTAAGAGAGAGATCAGTGACATTAATACTTGCTCCCCTTGGAAAATAATGCAGTTTAACAAAGAATCAAATTTTGTTGTTATTAAAAACACTCACCAAGTGGAAAAAAAATCCTTTTTTTTATTTTACAGCAGTAACTGAAATAATGCAAAATCTCTATTTGCAGTGAGAAAATATAACTATTGCTATCCCACAAAGCAGGGTTAGATTTTGGATGTTTACCTGTTAGTGTAGATCGTACATTCCTCAGTATTTAACTTCATGCATTCACTGTATTTATTTACAGCTTCTTCATATTTACCCCTTTTTACAAAATCATTCCCTTCATTCTTCAATTTCTTGAACTTCTCCGCAGCTTTCTCACCTACATTACAAAAGGATCACAGTGTTACATAAGAAGGTCAGTTTATTAAGGGGAGATTATTCATCTACCCAGACTAAGATAAATGCCTGGCATCTGCAGTATCTTTATTGGTCTGCAATTGCCACTGCTGTCCCAGAGCTCCCTGCTGCTCCACAAAAGGCATCAACTACCATAAATACACCTGGCACAACACAACTTCCCATGCACCAGGACAACTATTTTGCTGAAAATAATGGGAATGCAGCATACAGCTCTACACTTTCACCTCCTTCTGCCTACCCCTTCTGTGTGCTAGAGAGGGAATATCTATCTCTAGATCTATAGACATCTGCCCAGAGCAGCTGTGGATGCCCCATCCCTGGAGGGGTTCAAGGCCAGGCTGGATGAGGCTTTGAGCAACCTGGGCTAGTGGAGGGTGTCCCTGCCCATGGCAGGGGGTTGGAACTAGATGATCTTTAAGGTCCCTTCCAACCCAAACCATTCTGTGATTCTATGATTCTATAATCTCCACTGAGATGCCAGTTTTATTTACAGTGGTGGAGATGAAAAAAAATAAAGCCCTTCTAGAGCCCCATCATCACATCAAGGCAGCCACAATTTGATCTCTCTTTCTGCAAGCAACTATCACAACTACTGTGCTAAACTGACAATGACAAAGGAATAATCAGATCAGGAGGGTTTGCTGATACATCAGTAATATTCTGTTCATAGCTTTTTATAAAAGATGCTTTGAGGAACCTGAAAACACCTAACAATACTTTTTTTTTGTTAATATTGTGTTCTTCCATAATTGTCTTTCACTCCAAACTCCACATCGTTTGTTGCATATCCTTCTGGGTTTGACTACAATGTATAGCTACGCTGCAGTGTAAAACCAATCGACTGCAGTTTCTTGTCTCTGTGGTGAGCAAACAATAATTAATAACACGGTTCTAAGTAAATTGTAATGGAAATGGTAAAGAATAAGAGCCCCTTGTCAAGCATCACGTTTTAAACACTGTATATAATAAGATAATTTTAACCAGTGAACTCAGAAACCTCTTTTATAAAAACATGTCAGTCTCCAATGGCAGAAGACTACATGTGGACTTGGGGAAAAAATTAAGTAACGATGTGAAACCAGAACAGACGTATGCAAGAAATATAACTAAGTGATAACTCAAGTTGTAAGACACAAAAACCAACAAACTGTTGCACAAAAATGTCAGCCAACAGTAAGGTTTAACTACAGACTGAACATTTTTGCTGGCATGCTTCTGGTAGCAGCTACCACTGTCAGGCCCCACAGTTTAGTACAACCACAACCCTAGAGTCAGTCTTCAGTGAAGAAAATGGTTACACAGTCTTCATTTGATATTTCTAAAACAAAAATGTAACCAAAGCCCACTCTATCTGAAATAGATTGAGAAGCGGTTTGCATCAAAATTCCACAGAGCACACTTCATGAAGACAGTGATGGCTGGTTTCATTAAGGTACAAAACAGGCTAAACATGGAACTAGTGTTCTCAGGAGCCAACAATGATCTTCAAATTCTCTCTCTTAACAAAGTTATGCAAGGTTATATAGATCCACATTTACTACTTGAAAGGTTTAGGTTGAACAGGTTGGCTATACAATGAAATACAAAACCCAACAAGTTGTATTCCATAATAACAGAAAAAGCCTGGAGTGCAATCAGTACAACAAAAAGCACTTTTCAAGCTAAGTATTTACATTTCATAGCAACAATTTTGCAGAATAGCTGTTTTCTACTTAATTTTAAAAAACCAAATCTAATCCTTAAAAGTGACAGATCAGTTATTACGTGCACTGACAACAACTGTAATGAAAATACTTAAGTCACTAGACATTTTAAAAGGTTGAGTAAAATTTTTATCAATTTAATTGAGCTTAAATTATATACCAACATGCCTCATGTTTCTTAAATTAAAACAATCTTCTGTAGCAGTTTAGTATGCACTGTTATTCAAATAGTACGTAAATTATACTATACTATTATACTATTACAAGTTTCTAGAACCACGTCTTATTCTTGAGAAACTTGTCAAATTCTCATAAACTCATGTATTGTAAGTTGGCTGTTGTTTTACGTCAGGTACAAATAAATTTGAAGTAATTTAATCTCTAGTGCCCAAGAGTGCAGATTATTTGAGGTGTTACTGCAGTAACACATTATGGACAGATAACCCCATCACTGCTATGTATTTGGCCAGCAACCCAGTGATGCACTGCAGCCTCCCCCTGTGTTAATCAAGGGGAGATCATCTTCAGCATTACTTTTCTTTATATTGAAATAAACTCAAAGGGGTACCAATTAATAGTCAAGTAAGAGTAAAAAATGATACAGTTAAGTCCTTTGCAAAAATAATGTTTAATGTCATTAAAAACTGAATCAGAAAGGTTCCTTCACCTGATTTACTGGAGGAGAAAAATGGAAACTGCAAAGACTGGAAAAAAAAAATCAAGAGGAAGAGAGTGTCCTAAAGGAGTTAAGTACTCAGTGCTTATGTGTAAGCAAGCCCAGACCTAGCATCTTTGAAAGGTGACTACTAAATGGCCACTGTCAAAGTTAGACTCCATTGTAAAAAAAAAAAAAAAGAAAAAAACCTCATGAGTGTTCTTCTACAGCCCATTTCACTAACTACCGGCCACCTACAAGTCCACCCTTTCTGTTCTGAAGAGCTGAGTAATGCTTTCATGAACAACTAAATGGCAGCTACAAATTACGCAGCTGATTACGTTACTGAGGTTGGGTGTTTGGGTGGTTTTTTGGGGAGAAAACTGTGTTAACTGTAGTATGATGTCAAGGAAACCACCAATATTTGTGATAGTACTCAATATACTGCCGATAAGTATGTCTGCTGTAGTTCCTTTTATTTTATGTAACTTCAGAAATTACATGCTGCAAACTACATTGTTTGGCCTAAAAAAAAAAATATCGTTTACTCTGGTTCCATAAAACACACTAAAGCAAATAATGTAAATGGCTTTTCACAAAGATCTCTGATAAATATTATCTAAAGCAGTTTCTTTGACATTATTCAAACATACTCAATTTTCCAATTAAAACTATTTTCTTTTTTGTATATATATTTACATCAGCTATACATACAATTCATGTGCATCTGTTCCTCTCTGTTGACATCTTTAGCACTTCTTGGCTTCTTCTCTGCGGGAAAGTTTCCTCCATCCCACCTGTGTAGCTGAGCAGCAACTGGGACAACTGGAATTGGTGGCAGTTTCTCCCTCCAATTGGGACCATCCTGATCTATTAAAGTCTTTGTTATTCTGAAAGAGAAAAGCCCCACTAACATGACTTTTCATATATTTAACTCATGCTTTAATAACTTACACCCAATTTAAATAATGCAATGTTCCAATTTTTCCAAAACCAACCAAACACTTATCCTTAAGACTGATTTAAAAAGACTGTCAGAGCAGTCAACTGTGCAGGTACTGCACTCATTCAAGATTTAGACTTTTCCCCCTTTTTAGTGGATTTCTGCTAGCATTTAGAAGAAGCTGACTTCAGCACGATCTGTGAATATTTAAGCAAATGACTGATTTTTGCTCTAAATGATTGATAAGGTCTAAATGCTGTCTACCATATGCACTAAAGAAATAGGAAAAAAATTGATGTACTTATTTTGTTTCTTTTTCTCAGGTGTTTGTAGGTGTTATTTGTAATAAGTGTAAATCACAACATCCTCAAGACAAAATGTAGTTCCTAAATTTGCCAAAGTCAAATTAAACCTCTTCCACAACAATTCTCTAAATAACCAATGCAAGTCACAAAGTAGGTATTTAAGTGGCATTTTATAGAACAGTCAGAAATTCATCTATCATTCTTTATCTCCATTTAAAAATGCAAAGAAAATACATTAAAACTGTTTAGTCTTTCTTAAACCAACACACATACACATGCACACATATATATGTTATAGGTGAACTGTTGTCATATATGAGACATTCAATCCAAAATCCATTTAAGTGGGAGCTTCCCACTGTGATACGTTTTGGAGAAAGACCTAAGTCAACATAATGAGTAAAGCCATAGAAGACTTTATGGTTCCATTAAAATTTTTGTAGTGCTTTTAAAAGACAAACAAACACTCATTTATCAATTATGAGCATGAGAAGAACAGTGAGATGAAGGTCTTCTAATCTCAAAATGAGCTTAATAGTCAAGTTCAATAGGTGGTAAGGCTAATATCTACTTGAACAAAGGAAAACTCTGAGTAGTAAAGCAAGTCACATTGATTCTATAGCCAATAAACCTGAAATTTTTATACCAGGTGCATTTCTAACACAGGTGTAAAAAAGATACTACACGAATACACATTAAAAAAAAAAAAAACTGAGAACCTTCAATGTGTCATGAAGAAATGAAACAGAATGAGTACAAATTTCCCAATCAAGTTTTCTTACCTAGTTTTGTTCTTTTAAAATATTTGAATAACAGCTAAAAAAAAAAGCACCTCCGTATAATACTATGGCAACAGAGTCACAACACTCAGGACCAAATTCTTTTCCCAATAGGGTCTGATTAAAAATAAAAAACAATAAAAGAAGTAGCACCTCTCAAACCTTCTTTATTGTAAAACCAAAATTACCAAAGTAATTTAAAGCACAATATAGAATAAAAAGGCTGTTTGTAAGGCTATAGAATGTGTGATTTTATGTATTACATAATGCTGCATGAAATATACTATTTTGTATATTTTTAATTGAAAGTAAGTTCATACGCAGAATATCATATTTCATAGTATTACCTAGTTACTTTATTTTCTAAGTGAACAAAAATAATATTTTTCTGTGTGTTAGCTGCATATGCCCTTCCAGGGGCTCTCCTCTGCCTGTATCATTACTAAGCAGTATTTTACAGGACATACCAAAGCAGCTTGTCCAAGTTCCATTTGTGCTCTAATTCTACTAAAACTTTAGGTTTTTTAATGATGGTCTGAATTCAATTGCGAAGAAAAATGTGGCACATCATAATGAATTAAACAGCCTTACGATTTACCCAGGTTATTTTATTAGAGAACAAAACTGTACGCTTCATATTAAAAAGTCAATTCATTACGTTTATGTATTTCCCACAGTAACAGAATAATTCTACAGCAAACCACGGTCCCATTGACCTCCTGTTTAATTTTTCTCCATTTATCATAATGGGCTTAAAAAGTTGTACAAAAAATCTGATCTAATTTATCAAAACCAACAGAAAGAATCCTACAGTCTTTGATGATAGATTGGCTTCTTGTAATCTAGGAAGAGTCTTTTGCAAAAATGCAGAACTGTGTGCCACGTTTCGTTTATAAAGCACAGATATCTCATGAAAACACTGGGACAAACATGCTCTTTCCCCACCACCAACACCCTAGCTTGACCCAACAACCTTGCAAGTTTGCAGTTTATCACAAATTTATTTGTACAGTACAATAATCCTATGGGACTTTCTCATAAAAGCTCCCAAGCCATCTAATGCCATTTGCTAACTGATATTAAAGGAGTTGAGACTTCTTAATGAATGAATGAAACTTCAATTTAGCAAATGGAAATGCACAAACATATTGCCCCGCATTGGAGCTTTTGTACGTCTAACAATGAAAAGCAAATAATAAAACACTCAAGAGGAAAATAAAATACACAAAGTAGGAAATTTGGGGATGTTCAGAAAGCTAGGAAAATGCCAATAATTAAAAATGTGCTAGAAACGCATTTTCCTGTGACTTGGCACACACCATTAAAATAAACAGTCCTTCCAATTTATCTAAAACTCACCTCAGGATAACAAATAAAAGACACAATTCAACATGATCTAATGAACGTGATAAACACTCAAATAACTCTTTATACTTGTTTTCAGTTGACTTTTCATAAAAATGTGTACTTACAGTCTTAATTATTTCCTTTTGATTGCAAAACTATCAGGTAAAGGCTTCATATGATCAGGTAAAGGCTTCCTATTAAAAATTCTACTTGCCTTTTACGTGAGAATTATTAGAAATATCAGACTACACACCCATTTGATTCTAAGACTTTTTGGAAGGCCTCCTTAGTTAGATAAGTACAGAAAGACAAGCCTTAACACCATTCATCAAACCCACCCTCAGATACAAGTAGGATGATCCTTTTTTTTCCTGTTAGCTTCCTACAGCATCACCATCCAATTTCCTGCAGGAACTTAAAAACAAATAAATTCTGCAATAAAAGCAGGTTGTTAAGACCTGATATTCCTAACATAAAAAAAATTAATTACATTTTGGGGTTGTCCCTTTAAGTTAAAAGGCAGTAACTACCACTTTTTGTTAAAATTAGTTTTGAAAAAGGTCTGTTACTTTGGAAATGAAAATTAATACTTTGATAAGCAATTTCAGTTTAAATAATAAACAAAAATATTAAAAATTAAATTATAGTAAAAGTTCAATTATGCAGGACATCTGTGCTTTAGAACCTAAGAATTTGCAAGCAAAAATGAATTACCAGCAGAAGAGAAGAAGGAAGAAGCAGCTGAAATAACAGGTTGCCAAGGAGGAAAGAGTAATGAGCAGTGAAGCTAAAAACAGAAGGAAGGCCTGGAGAGGAGAAAAGGAAGAGTGTTAAGGGAAAAAAAGGGAAATAAGCTTTTTACTAAGTAAGTTACAAGTCAAGGAGAAATATGAAAAGAGTATCTGCAGATAAAATAAGCCAAGAAGATTAAAAAAAAATATAACAATCACACAGATACCAGGACAAGCAGTTATCTCACCAATCCAAGTGCTCTATTTTCAGAGTAGATACAGGACATCAGTACCAATTTGTTGTGTTATCAAAAATAAGACTTCTAAGAGGAGAAAATAAAGTGTCACTATCTTCTTCGGTGACCTCTGGTCAGATACACAGAATTTAAAAATACTATGGACTTATTAATGAAGTAATAATGTAAGTGTTCATGGCCTTGCCTTAAAAAGGAAAAAAGGTACTAGATCCCACTGCTAAAAGTCTCATGAATGTGGGTTCCTGCTCAATGATTAACGGCTGTTCTTCATTCATAATTTTTTTTGCCCATTAAAGAAAAAAAGGAAAGGAAAGGAAAGGGAATGGAAATTCGTATCGTTCATGCACTGCAGTACCTACTATACGTTAATAAGGAAACAATTGCCAGAGTGTATATACACTAATTTTACACTAGCAAAATACAGAAATTGAGACATCTCTCTTGGCAGCAAGAATTAATGTTGGAAGTATTAACACTTAAAAATAATACTCAATTACATGTTTTACACTTCTATGCTTCGCAGCCAACCATTTATTAACCTACTTCAGTGTCTACACAACTGCAGCATACTGAAGGATTCACACTTAACAGGACCAAGTGCAAGGTCTTGCACATGGATTGGGACAATCCCAAGCACAAACACAGGCTGGGAGGAGAATGGATAGAGAACAGCTCTGAGGAGAAGGACTTGGGGGTGTTGGCTGATGAGAAGCTGAACATGAGCTGGCAGTGCGCGCTTGCAGCCCAGAAAGCCAATTGTGTCCTGGGGGCATCAAAAGAAGCGTGATCAGCAGGTTGAGGGAGGTGATTCTCCCCCTCTGCTCTGCTCTTGTGAGACCCCACCTGGAGTAAGCTCTGTGCCCAGCTCTGGAGTCCTCAGCACAGGAAGGCCATGGACCTGTTGGAGCAAGTCCAGAGGAGGGCCACAAAGATGGTCAGAGGGCTGGAGCACCTCCCACATGAGGACAGAGAATTGGGGTTGTTTAAATTAGAGAAGGCTCCAGAGAGACCTTAGAGCAGCCTTCCAATATGTAAAGGGGGCTACAAATGGGGAGGCACTCTTCATCAGGGAGCATAGTGACAGGACGAGGGGTAATGGTTTGAAGGGTAGATTTAGGTTAGATATTAGGAAAAAATTCTTTACGATGAGGGTGGTGAGGCAGTGGCCCAGGTTGCCCAGAGAAGCTGTGGATGCCCCATCCCTGGAGGTGTTCAAGGCCAGATTGGATGGGCTAGTGGAGGGTGTCCCTGCCCATGGCAGGGGGGTTGGAACTTGATGATCCTTAAGGTTGCTTCCAACCCAAACCATTCTTTTGATTCTGTGATGATGAACATATATCTCCAACTGCCACAGAACTAGTGCTAATATCAAGAGGAAACAGAAATGTCAGAGAAAAGGTATGGACCTCAAAGTATTACTTTACATGGTATCAAATACAAGTTAGGAAAGAAAACAAGTTGAAGTACCAGTAAAAAAAAGCCTTTAAAATCTTACACTTTTAAAACAGAAGATGACCTCCTGCTGGTGGAGGAAAACTGTAAAGCTATGGGGTAAAAACTACATGAAACAGCCAGCCCTCTAGTTGTAGCACACTAGTTGTAACAACCCCGCCTCTGAGCAATACAGAACAGAGGGAGAATGTAAAACAAAGTTCAATTCTATTTTTCTATTCGGACTGATACGAGTAGAAAATTTTTAAGTGCAGTTACCTATTAGCACTATCATTTGCTGCTTGGATGCTGCTGTCTATTTGTAGAACTGTTTTATAATCAATATATGCCTGTCGATACCGCTCCATAGACTCATTTGCCATTGCTCGTCGCAGAAGAGGCTTGAGGGAAAATGGCTGAAGCTCCAGAGCTCTGGAGAAAACGAAAGAAAAATGCAGGATTGAAATGGAATAACTGAAATAATATTAATAAAACTATTTTATTATATCTACAATTATATGTAACAATCAATGAAAATGGGATTGAGTGGTTTATATTAATACCTTACATGACATGCAGTTATGAAATTGTTAGCGCTTTTACAATAGCTTACTCTACTCAAATTCCTATCTTCCATCTGGGAAACTACTTTCATCACCAAGAAAAGATTAATGTAGTGGCAGCTGTTTAGGAGCAAAAGCTATTTTTCTTAAGTCATGCCTAGGTCTATGGAGATTTCAAGTATATGGTGCTTGTGCTCACATGATCTTCAGTTCTTCCTTACATGGAAGTACACAGACAAAAAATTACATTTGCTAAGACATGAATACACATCTTTATTTTGGCTTTTAGGTTTTTGCTTGTCTTTTGTCTGTTTACTCTTCTGATTGTGTGTGTGGTCGACACTGAGCTCAACCCCTGACGCTGTGCAATCAGATCTCCTTCCATCACCATGCACTTTTCCAACAATATGAAGATGCAGTTCACAAAGGCTTCATTTGTTAAAGACTACCTTTATAAATCAATGATTCTTGCTAAAGAGAACAACAAACGTTGAAATACTGAAACTGAGTCTAGCCAATTAGATTTCATGGAATTATAAAGTAATTCAGGCTGAGAGGACACTAGTCCAACCTTGTACTACAGGCAGGGTCAGCTCTGAGATAAAAAAAGGCTGCTCAGGACTTTATCCAGTGGGGCCTTGAAAACCTTCAAGGGAATCTCTGCACAACATCTGTGGGCAACCTGTTGCAACGACCCCCACTATGACTTCTACTGGGGAAGCTGAAAACTGGCACAGCTATCATAGATTTTGTCTAACAAGCACTGAGGACAAGGGGATAATCACTTCCCTCAATCCACTGGCTGCACTCCTGTTTATAAGCCCAGGAGGCTTTTGGCCTTCTTTGCTGTAAATTGGCTTTGCACCATTACTCCTCCTAAAGCTAAAGAAACAATGACTTCTAGAATAAAGATTTCCAGTTTCCATTTAATGAGTACTTCCAACATTCCATTTCTCTTTAAATTGCTGAATGCATTTGAAAAATACAACAGCGTACATCATCATATCCCCTATAAAACATCCGAAAAAAGCTTGCCATTCTGTAACTTACAAGAATATCTATGCAATTTCAGGTTCCTAACATCAAGAAACAAACAATGACAAATACATTTAGGGCAAGATGACACTGCTTGAAGGATAGCATCACTGGGAGTGGAAAACTACATTTCCAGGGTAGAATGCAAAGATAATACAGCCAGGGACTAAACCACAGCACAATACTAAATAAATTAACATTAGTGCATAGGAGGCCTATTTCACTCTCTGTAACAAGAATGAAAGTCACTCCAAATCAGAGTCTTGAGACAGAGAGACCCAACAGAGGGGTTTTGATACACTTCTAAGCCCTAAGTAGCTAAAACTTAACAAAAGATAAATGTTCAATACTTATTTTTATATCACAAACACATAAGCACTACACCATTTTTTATTTTGAAATCAAGTAACATTCTTAGATCATCCTTTATGTTGTGTTGCCTAGAGAAGATTTAATTGACATTGGCTAATTCATGTGTGGTTGCAGTTTTGCAGTTCTGCTTCCCAGTCTCTAAATTATTTCTATCACTGTTGTGTTCCCTAAGCATCACAGGTCCTTGCGTATCCAGAAAATATGCATGACATTAAGGACACTATCAAGTAATAAGAAAATGAGCTTCCAATTCATAAGAATACAAAACCCAAAGCCTTTTTATTACTGATTTCAATTACTTCAAACCTCCTGAACAGAGTAAGTATGCCAGCTTATCAGCCAGCTATGGTCCTGCACCTTTTTTAACAAACTGTTGTTAACAAGTCAATTTTTTTCAGATGGCATTTTCAGAAAAAATTTCTGTCAGGCAGAACATATACAGTAAGTCAAATACTTAGTTTAAAAAGGTACATGAATATTTTACTTTTAGTAAAAGTAAAGTAAGTTCTTTAGGGTTTTTTAACAGTTGAGTTGTGCTGTAAAAAACCCCAACTGATCAGTTAATATGATTCCTAATTGTCTTGGGATCCTTTTTTTTCACCTTAAGCCTCAGTCTTACTAACCCTATATATGAAAATATAAACAAAAGACATCTAGAAATACAGTACTCATTTAGTGGAAGGCAGTGTTTCGAAGTTATTGAAGGTGTCTGATCTCCTCTAACTCCTGTATCCTTAAAAGCCACCATAAGCAGAAAGGATTTTAGCTCAATTCCTGAACAGCTGTAATTACTGTAACTACACCAAGTATATATTAAAAAAAAAACCAAAACAACAAACAGAGAACACAGATCTATGATTCTATAACACACATACCTATAAACCACAGACATGCTTGAAAGCAGTTTCTAATACTGTGATAAGCATCTGTCTTAACAAAGCTTTTACATACAAGTTACTACAGAGCATCACTGAAATATACCTGCTTTTATACTAAAATTTTTAACCCTGCTATTTCTGTGTACACAAGAAGGCTAATAACTGCCCTCATGCAGTAAGCAAATTAAAAATTACTCCCTTCCTAGGCTCCCTCTGATTGTTTACGTAACTGACAAAAGTATCTGCCATTTAGACAGGGAATCAGAGGTTACTGAAGATTGTTCTAAGTCAAACCGCAATAAGAACGTATCAGTTATAATGTTTAATCATCATCAGGAATGTTGCTGCTCTACATGGGAGGTTGCAATTTACCTGTTACAATCCTGAATGCAGTCACTGCAGTTGCCTTCTTTGAGGTAACATGCTGCTCTGTTTGAGTACAAGATACTTAAATCATCTGGACTCTGTTCTCCTGCAAGGAATTACAAGCAAAATCAAGATTATTAAAATGACAGTTGAGAATGAAAGACTTGCATACTGCAAGTTGCACTGCAGTGATGCAGTTTGCTGACAATGCAAAGCTGTAAGGAGCTTTATCACGTCACCTAGAATACGTAATTATTCAAACACATAAATAAAAGCAGACAGCTCTACCTCAAGGAAGTTAAAAGATTATTTCACTCATCTTCCTATAGTTTGTATCATGTTAATTATCCTCTACCGACAGTGACAAAGATTTTACAGCACAGTAACTCCTGCCAAAATTCCAGGGATAGGCTGGGCTCGCTCATTTGTAGTTCCTTTAACTAATCCAAACAATAATCCTAGATTTAAGTACAAGGTTTCACACTCACCTAGACCAATGACATATTCAATTGCTTCCGAGTATTTGAGCACAGCTTCTCCAAACTGTCCACTCTTAAATAACTCGTTCCCTTCACTTTTTAGTTTTGCTGCAGGAGGAGGAAGCGAAGTAGACATGCCACCACCAGCCGGCTGAGACCCTGCTCCGTCCGATCCGGAGATCTCAGCGCCAGGGCTTTCCCTCTTTCGATCACTGTGTAAGTAGCCATTAACTTCACCTTCATGCTCTGACAAATGCTTTTGCGGTTTTTTCTCTGATGTGCCTTTTTTTAATCCGCTCTCAGGGGATTCCTTCTGCTTCTGCGTCTCCCTCTCGCCCGCCTTACCGCCGCCTCCTCTGCCGTGCGACTTCTTCTGCGCGTTCCCCATCCCCGCCTCCTCTCCCGCGGCTCGCTCGCCAGTTTCTGCAAGGAAGTCAATGAGCTGAGTTCGAGGTTGCATCATCAGAAGAAACTATCGTCCTGGCACAGGAGGGGTGTCCAGAAAAGTAACACGGTACCTCCAGTCCTTCCTCGTGTTAGGAAGATGTATGTGCCTCAGAAAACACTTGAGAGAACACATAATTCCTTCCTACAACTAACTTACACTTACTACTTGAGAATATATGACGATGACATCTGATTTCTCCTTGCTGGGCACATTAGGAACCCCTGTTCTGTGGCGTCCGAATGGTAGAGTTCACCTTGAAATTAACTCTTTAAGTACTGGCTCTTACAACACTGATTCCTGGCTTTTCAATGACCACATCAACACTCTCGCATGTTACAATTAGAGCACACAGCTAACGAGAAGGTCACGCTGCACGCTGCAAAACCCTCCTCAAATACAACCCTGAATAGGAGGGATAAAAGCTTATAGATCATTCTCAAAAAGGCTTCATTTAAACATAACGTTAAAAAGCCTTTATAGAGTTCAGTTCATTCAATTTTCACTACTATTATTAAATTAATTAGGAAAAAATAATACAATAAGGGTTTTGGATATTAACATATTTAATTTCCTTATTCACCTGAATTCCTAACAGATTACCACCACAGTATTCAAATACAGATTTCAGCAGAAAGCCTGACTCTTAATACTACCAGTCATGCCAGGGCAATGCTATGTTTGGGTACCATTAATTAAGATGCTGGGTTTTCACCTCCTCTTAACTTGATGTGCTCATCTGTCCACCAGAGTGTTTTCATGCCCTTATATATTGGAGTGATACCTTCAACTGACTCAAACATACCTTCTTAAGCTGATTGAATATGGATGAACTCCAGGTTGTTCCAAATTACAGAAATTATTTTCTTAATGAAAAAATGTTATTGAAATCAAACTGAACAGGATGGGAAAGAATTAAGACTTTTGAAAACTATAGATTTTCTAGTGGCTAATAGACAAAAGCAGTAACTGCATCCTTCCTACCTGTGGTCTCTGTTTTGAAATACTGCATTTAATAATAAGTTCATAGTCCACAGTGGGAACAATGATAGGATAAATCTATTCTACCATTGAAGACAATAGTACTATAATAATAATTTCCTTGGGTTACATGCTAAAATACTTTTATTTTACATTTTATCCACCAAAACAGAAAATACTCTGTATAGCTCCTACTAAAAAAAAAAAAAAAGGAAAAAACAAATTTAACTGTCACAGACAAACAGCTAGTATGTGTTCAGAAAAAATGCCAGAGCCAAACAAACTTGAAAAGCATCCCAAGTGCCAGAGACAAAGCAAGAAAGGTGGATAATGTGTGGTGCAAATGTGAATGTCATTAATGGAAACGTCGTTTCCTGAATACAGGAGAAAATTTCCTGAAGACGAAGTGCACAGAACCAAACCTGGATTACACAGGAACCATTTACAGCATTTGGAGACTACATAACTAGATGTATACAGAGAAGACGTGTAAGATGCTTTGTTTACTTATTGCTGTTAGGTTCACAGACCATATCAGACTTACTCAATAACTGAACTGACTTTGTATTTTTTTCCAGTTGTACTTTAAAACACAGAGTAATCTATGAAGATGCTTGCCTCCAAAATCTCAAAAATACATATGGATATCACACGAACACATGTGACATTGATGTCAGTTGACAATCTTCCCTATGTTTAAAAGCCTAACCTTTCATCAATGGAATGGGAGTCTTCCTATGGAGCTAGAAGGCAGTTAGTCATCTGAATGTTCCCAACAGAAAGCAACCCCAAATTAACTAATACTTAAGGCTAGGGACACGATCCATCCTTTCTTCCAGGGTTTTAGCTGAGGAGACTTAGTGGATACCTCCTAATTTTGAAAAAATGTATTTTCTTTAAATTTTTGTGCAAATAATGCATTCCTAAATCACACATGTACAGTCTAATATTTACCACTAAGTTGGAAAACCCACAGACTGATTTAATTTGAAGATAAAGAACTATATAGACCATGGAAAACGGAAAAGTCTCAGCTGCCATGTCACATTACCTTGAAGAACCAACAGAAAGGAGAAAGGGTGGAAATCAACCCAGGGATGTTATTCTGTTGCAGGTTGAAGCCCAGACATGCAGCTGAATCTAAAAGCAACCTGCTAGTGCAAGCCTCAACAGCCCCTGCTGCCTCATTTCCTCCTACAAGTCATGTATTCTGATTATGCCAGTAGCTTCATCTCAGCAGTCTTGCAGTTAGTCACATACTAATCCAGAAACAGGAGGTGCACTTCAACTGCTCGTAAACCACATACAGTTCAAGAATTACACATTGTTTACCTCTAATATATACTTTCAGAGCACATAGATGAACTCTTAGATTAAAAAACAAAAAATTGATAGTTTTCAAACAAACAACAGCAAACTCAAATTACATGCCAGTCGATATTCTTACACCCTTTGATCCGATAAAGGGAGGAAAAATGGGGTAGAAAAACATGATGGTGGGAAGGCAGCAGAGCTGTGCGAGAGGGAGCTGAGGAACACAAAATGTTCTCTAGCACCGGAAGAAATTCACAGCTGTGTCCACATCAAAGGACAAGTATAAAATTACACAGGACACATGGAAGTAGGTGATTTATAGCAACATTTTCCCTGTCTCTGTTGTATCCTTTCTAGAAATAACTCCAAATATCTGTAATAAAACTGTATTCTAGATTTCACATTCATATTTTAAGGAGTGAAGGTAATTTTAGTCTCCAAACAGGCAAAATTCTTTGCAAGCAAATATGGATGAATTGTGTGAATAAACATTACAGTACCAAAGGCAATGATTTTTTCCTCAGGTTAAAATTAAATAGGAAATTACATGACATTACCTTTATCTCCTCTGCTTCTTTCACATTCTTCTGTATTTTCCTCTCTTTCTTCGCCATCGTCTGAATCCTCCATATCTTGAATAAGTATTCTTTTTCCTTTGCCTTGAGTCTCAGATACAGGCTCTAAGCCTTTCAGTTTCTTTTCAATCTCTAGCAGATTTTTCTGCAATAGAGGAAAAAAAACAGCAAAAGCCTTTTTTTATAGGTATATAAACTGTAATTTATATACAGAAAATATATTCTGTCAAATAATCCCCATAAGATCCTGAAGAACTATTGAGATAAATGTTACTAGTATAAAACCAGAGAAATATGACTTTTACAAGTGTCAGTATGAAACCCAAGATTAATACTCTATTTCTGTCTCTTAAAAATGCAGAAGCTCTCATATAAATAATTACTTTTCTTGAATGAACTGCTTAAGCAAAAAAAAATTACATTAAAATGAAAAAAATAGATTGTACCATAGTGATATCTGGCGTCATCTACTCAGAAGAGACATGTGGAAAACTGGCTCTTTCCAGAATCTCTGAAAAAGCCTAAAATGAGTTGATCAAAATTTATGCTACGGAGAATTTGGTGTCTGATACATATCTGATGGAAGAGTGTAACTCACAGAACTAGAACCAAGAGACAACAATTTCTTAGCAGTGTAGCAGAAGGCCACTTTTGAATAATGAAAAGGTTTGCTCCTCTTGTAAGAGCTGCAAAATACATGATCAAACAGCCTCTCATTTCATAAACATTTGTTGATTATTCCAAAAAAATACTCAACTGTACTTCACACTTTTGGCGAGAGTAAGACACACCCAACGTTATTGACTATTCTGAATTTAATTCAATGCTGTACAAGGAAGTGCCATTTCAGTACTCACTTCCTTAAGAGAAAGGTAAAGCCAGGAGAAGAACAAGCAAAGATTCACATGGACAAATATCTTGAAGAATTCCAGTTACTGACAACCAATTTACCTTTATATTAGTGACTCTGCACATAAACCTTCACTCTGCATGTGTTCCATACGTTCATATTTCGCTCAAGAGGGTTTTGATTGTCCTCCAAGCAAAGAGCAACTGAAAAAATGCCTTTCCAAGCACTTGTCACTTCTCAGCCAAGGCATAATAGCAGGCACAGATAAGGGCACAGTGCAGACATCTGCTTTCAGCTACAGAAATATTACTCAGCAAAGCTACTAATGTATTTAGATCTCTGAAGAGTATAAACAGAAAAAAAAAAACCCAAAAGTTCTTTTAGAACTCAAATCTAGAGACAGGTGTTTAAAAAGAAAGGAAGGGGTGGGGGAAAGGTAGGCAGGTTCATTCCTTGGTCGATGTGAAACTCAGGAACTACTCTGGAGAGGAATCTAGCTCCAAGAATACCCTAGAAGGAATGAATGCTGTATGTGGTGAATCTGAAATAACAGGCTTGGACCTCTCTCACTGGTGCAAGCGATAGCAGTGATCAAATAATTCCATGGAGAGAAGTAGCAACCAGCAAGCTACGAGTAGCTCAAAATGTGCCAACAAGAGCTGAACAGAACTCAGGTGATGAGGCAACTGCACAGCATCCTGAAGTCATACCTGAAAAAATTGGGAGGGTAGCAGTATGCTGGACTCCTAATTAACGAAGAGCAGTCTAGTATCAGAACTGTCTAGTACTGAAGATTTTCAGACCATGTAGAGTCTAAATGCAAGGACTGGGTTCCAACCCACTAAACACACCTAAGAAGATACCAATGAAAGGACACAAATCGATCCTCTCCTAAATGGTTGAAGTATTAGCAGTTCAAGGACCACATCCTGACCTTGAGTTTACAAAGACAGCATCCAGCTTTCTTAGATGCAAAATTGCCTAAGAAGGGTCCAGATTCACCAGAAAGTATGAAAGATTTTTCATTCTAGCCTGGAGGTGAGAAATGAGGATTTATTACATCATGCTGAAGTGAGGACAGAACCCAGGTCCTCTCCTTTTGGGTTAACTTTACCACTACAACAATAAAAGCTTAGCAGCTTTTTTGAATTTTTCTTGTGAATTCTGTGTCAATCTTAAATACACCTATCCCAGTGGATCTTTTTGAGAGAAATTTCCAAATAACTTTGATCAGCTAAGACACTAATACTGTAAGAATGTTCAGCAGCAAAATTTTAGGAACCTAAATTATGTTAACAGAGAAGACTTGAGTGCCTCCAGTTTCTCACAATTAAGTAGTGAACAGAAGATCCGGTCCCATTCAAGTACTTCGTTTCCACCACAGGCACCTATGTGGCCTTTGGAGACTGATCACTGGCATAGTAGATTGAGTGTGTCCTCAAGACTCATATTTAAATCAATCAATATAAACTGTACTCACTTTATACTACAACTGCACACAACCTCTTTCTAGTCATATTCAACTCATTTATCCTTACCTTAGCTATAGCATTTTCTGGTTCAACACATAATACTTTGTTCAGATCCTCTATAGCTGTCTGGTAGTTCTGCAGATGATTGTGTACAGTGGTACGGCGCATCAGAGCTAGAAAGAAACAATTCATTATTTATGTATTTAAAGCATAAAGCAGATAAAAGTACACTATTTTTTTCTAGACATATTAAATGTAAACCAGTTTTTAAAATTCTGTGTTTACTTCGTAATGCCTGTATTAGTAATAACTGTTCTCTTGATCATTTTTAACAATGCAATTTCACATGACACCTTTTGAGATAGTGATTATGAATTATGAAGCATCTTTTCATGTTTTTCCAATTTTTCCCCTCCTCCTACGCAAATAACAGTTAGCTGCATTCAAGCTCTTGCCTTCAGAAAGGATTTAATCATCAACTTTAATTGTTTTCATGTCACTTTTAAGGTAATTACCGTGGGTATTATGGAAACATGCATGAATACAAGAGGGCTCATAGTCATCATATAAAAACCAAGAGTTAGCCCCACGCTACCAGTTAGCTACATTCAAGCTCTTGCTTTCAGAAAGGATTTAATCAGCAAATCATCAACTTTAATTGTTTTCATGTCACTTTTAAGGTAATTACCGTGGGTATTACGGAAACATGCATGAATACAAGAGGGCTCATAGTCATCATATAAAAACCAAGAGTTAGCCCCACACTACTCCATAAGAATACCCATTACAGATCAACAGGGTGGACTGCATAAAACTTCCCTGACCCCGAAAATACTGTTAAAATTACTTTGGGGAGCTACTCTGTTTCCTTCTTTATACTTGGACTTGATCTAAAGCTCAGTGAAGACAACAACGTTAATGGATACGTAACATTTTATTTGATAGAAATAAAACAATCTATAGAAGGGCAAGGTTATGTTAAGGTTTATGTTAAAGTTTAACTTTACCTTTTATGTTGCCAGGTTCCATATCTAGTACCTTCTCACAATCCTGCAATGCACTGTCCCAGTCCTGAAGCTTGATTTCTGCCTGAGCTTTGTTATTATATGCAGCTGCTGTGGGTATTACTGATATACTCCTGAAAAAAAAGGGAGTATTGACCATGGTAGGCTCATAGTTAAAAAACCTGAATGTAGAAACACTTCACTATTGGAAGCTGAAAACAGTATTATAACAATATTAACACCGATATTCTAACCACAGTAACGGTTAGGAACTCCATCCTATGAGACCACAGGCAACCACCCACCCACTAGATTTACCATCTTCAGAGGTCTGTTGCTTGCTAGAGCTTAGACCTGAGATGGTGCAGAGAGGATGCCACAGCTCATCTGCCCCTTAAACTATTACTTCTTGCTGCCACCCACGTAGACTCAAATGAAACTGCCAAATGAAAACTTTGAGAGTATCAAAAGTAACTGCAGAGCTCTGAAGGCTATGATGAAGAGCATGGGGGGCCACATGGGCTTCTCCTTGATCTTACTTGTA